TGTGTCTCTCTCTGTCAAATAAATAAAATCTTTTAATAAATAAATAAATAAATAAATAAAAATAAAATTCTTGTATCTTACTTCCTAGCCAGTTGGAGCACCATTTCTCTTCCTTTTGCATCAAAGTTCCTCAGGAGAGTTCTTGATAGTGTCTTTAGTTTCCCTCCTGCCATATCTTTCAAACCCACTTCAGTTAGGATTTCCCCCCATTCACTCCACCAAAACTGTTTTGGTTAAGGTCATCAAAGACTTCCATGTTCATTCATTGATTCAATAAATAAATACTTGTTTATACTTGGCTGGGATCTTTTCTGAGCACATGGGATATGTCATTGAACAAAAGAAAAACCCTTCCCTTTTTGAGCTGATGTTTATACCCAGCCACGCTAAAGCCAGTGGGCAGTTCTCAGTTGTCTCACTTGACCTTTCAGCAACATTTAACTCAGCTGATCCTCTTCCTTGTTTTTTTTCACTGGGCTTATAGGACTTCATTCTCTCTTTGTTTTCCTTCTTCCTCACTAGAAATTCCTGTTTTGTCTTCTCTGTTGATTGCTTATCTTTTTATAGAAGAGTCCCCTTGCCTAGTACTTGTTCTTTTGCCGTATGTGTATGCTCATCCTCTTGGTCATCTTACCTAGTCTCATGGCTTAAATACCATCTATATGTCAGGGATTATTGGATCTATATTTTTAGCCTGGGCACCAGGCTCAGATCTAGCTTCCCATTTGACATCTCTTTCGATGTTTATTTGATGTTTCAATTGAACTCCTAAAGTGAATACCTGATCTCTCCTCCTCTAGAACATTCACACACCTATTCTACTTGCAGGCTTGCTAATCTCAGTTGATGCCAACTCTGTCCTTCCAAGTGTTCAAATCCAAAATTTGTAAAGTCACCCATGATTCCTATCTCTCACACTCAATAGCTTCTCTACTGGACTATCTTAAAACATACCCAGAATGAGGACCCCTTGGAGAATTGGCTATTTTGGGGGTTGGTGAAGGAAATGTCTGAAGATGACCTTGGAACATACTGTTGTGTCAAAAAAAGTTAAGTCCTCCCACTGGCCAGCTCTTTGAAGATAATTCCACTGGTCAAATCCAGGACAGTATTGGAAGCAAAATTAATAATGACAGAAATGGATTATTACCTATTAAATAAAAAAGAAATCTATGAGTGCATACTGAAAAGAAGTAAAGGAGAAGGGAAAGCTCTTTTTTACAGTAGAATGCCAACTAATAAATACAGAAGGAATGATTGTTAGATAATGACCTTTTTGCAGTCATAGTAATAATTATTGCAGGTAGGAATGCTCAGTGCATTGTTGGATGAAACTTTGATAGGTTACAGCGTATTTATACTGTCTTAAAGTATCACCACACAGGTTGCATAGTAATTACAAAAGGAAAGTTGATATTTTACAGTGGACAAACCTGGCAGACAAACCTTATTCAAGTGTTCAAGGATCATAACACTAATGTAGGGACAGACTGACCCCAAACCTGATAGTGCATTCTGATGTTATGCATTGAGAAGGCTTACAACATTACTTACATAGTTCTCCTGCCAAAAATTCTGAGGAAATACTAAACAAACTCAAATTGGGTGCTGTTGTATAAAACTACTAGCCATGAACAAACTCTTCAAAAATGAAAAAGTGATAAAGAGAATATGGTGAGTCTAGGTGAAGGGTACATGGGAGTTTATTTTACTATTCTTGCAGCTCTTTTTGTAATTAATTTTGAAAATTTTTCAAATAAAAACTTAAAAATACATGTTTATCCAGACTCCACTCTTCTGCAACCACCTTCATCTAAGCCATCATCATCTCTTGCTTCAATTACTAAATTGCTTCTAGTTGGTTTCTCTACTTCTCCCTTTAACCCCCTTCTACAGTCTTCTCTCTGCACAGAAGCAGAGTGACAGATTATATCACTCCTCTGCTCAGGGTCCTTCATTGGCACCTCACTTAACTTACATCCTTACTATAATGATCTACAAAGACCAGTGCCTTCTCTTCCCCCATCTTTACACTCTGGCCTGTCCTCTACTAAAGTCCTCCATTGCTCTGTTCACATAACTCTACTTAAACCCAGTAGGCATCATATTCTTCCTCAAGGCCTTTTTGCCCTAGCTATTTCCTCTGCCTAGAACACTTTTTCTCCAGATATCTGCATGCCTGATTCCCTCACTGTCCTCAAACTATGTTCAGGTGTCACCTTTCCAATGAATCTTACCTTGACTACCCTATTTAAAATCACAAACACTTCCCCCGTATTCCTGAGCCTGAGCTCTATTTTTTGCATGGCTTTAATCATTGTCTAGCATACTCTATACTTAGTCATTTATTATGTTTATTATTCTTTCTTTCCTAGAATTTATGATTCATGAGGGCATGGATTTTACACTGTTCACTAATGTTTTTCTCCCAAATGCCAACATGGATTTTCATTTGTTTCAGATGGTTATTTCTACTTTATGCTGAGGAGTAGATTTTTTGTTCATAATTTTGATTAATGGAAGTTTATTTCTCTACTGTGTATGACTTGAGCCAATAATAAGGGTCAGAGCTCATGACCATCATTATTCAGAAGAATGAAAGGGAGAAAGGTGTGTGTGTGTGTGTAAGAGATCTTGTTCCCTAGATATTCACAGGGAGAAACTCAGCTGTGTCATACTGCAAACAAATGTGAAGACACATTCTGCCCTAACTAATCTCTTGATTATTGTAGCCTAAGGGCCAACTGATCAGTTTAGTAATATTTTGCTTTGATTTCTTCAGAGACTAAGGATATAACAAAAGTTGTACCTGCAGTTGAGAATTTTAAAAAATAGGATATGGTGGTTACTTTATATAAGTTTCATTAAGAGTTGTAGAGCACTTGGAAGTGTAAAATTATGATTTTGGCATTTTTAGTATTTAAAAAGAATTTTTAAAGCATTTTAAACTTTTAAAGCTATAAGCATTTTCATTTGTGGAGAGCAAGGACAGTTAATGTTTTTTGTTTTAGAAGACGGTTAGCCTCCGGCACCTGGGTGGCTCATTTGGTTAAGCGTCTGCCTTTGGCTCAGGTCCTGATTTCAGGGTCCTGGGAAGTCTGCTTCTCCCTCTCCCTCTGCCGCCCCCTGCACCCCCCCCCGCTCATGCTCTCTCAAATAAATAAACAAAAAAATTTAAAAATTAAAAAAAAAAAAGGTTAGCCTTCTACTGTGGAAAAGAGGGCAGTAGGGGCACCCTGTCTGGTTCAGGTTATAATCCCAGGATGCTGGGATCGAGCCCTGCATTGGGCTCCCTGCTCAGCAGGGAGACTGCTTCTCCCTCTCCCTCTGCCTGCTGCTCCTCCTGCTTGTACTCTCTCTCTCTGTCAAATAAATAATAAAATCTATTAAAAAAAGAAAAAGAGGGCAATAGGGCATAATCCCGAAGTAGCTTAGTCTTAAAATGTCATTGACATGACACTTCAGAGTCCGTTATGATTTGACCTCTGAACCCTTGCATAACTTTTTGTATGTTAATGTGTGTAATGTCCTGTCAATTTTGCATTTTGTTTGGATTTTTAGTTTATTTTTGTTTCTATAACATGCTTACCGAGATCATGCAAATCAAGATCATGCATTAAAATTTTAGTCTCTGTAAAGTACAAATCACATGTTTTGTTTTGTTCTTTGTTATAGCAGTCTCACGTCAAAGCATTCGCAGAGTATCTCTGGAGGAAGTTCTGGAATTACTAGGAACAGGGTTTCTACGTGGGAGTTCAGGATTTCTTCGAGCCAGTGGAGATATGCTGAAAGGAACCAGTTCAGTCAGTAGGGATGTTCGAGTTGGAGTTACTCAGGTTAGAGTCACAAATGAGTATCTACATGTAATACTCACTGGCCTATAATGAGAATTTTAGTATCTGAATACTCTGGGCATAAGTGATACTGTGCAGGGTCATCACTTCTGCTCTCATATTTATAAAACAGAGATGGTAAGGCCACTCTTTGAAAGTTAGGTTACAAGTAAGAGAACCTTAGTTACCTAAAAGCCAATGAAATAGGCTATTATTCACAATGTGTTTTAAGTTCCTAATAATGGGAAATTTTTATTTCCTTTGAAATACAAACATTTGTTTCTAGGCCTTGCGCTTTCATGTGTCTTATAGTTTAACATGTTTTCCATTGTGCTTTTGTGTGCTTGTACAGTTCAGATTTAAGGTACATACTAGGTACATGTCATTCAGTATGGGAAATACTGTATTTCCATTTTATGTGGTTTCAACTCCTAAGTAAAGATCATAGCATATAATCTAAGCTAAACCTAGGAAAAGTATCTTAGAATAAAACAACACAGAGGTCTCTGTATTGTTTTCTAAATGTCATTGTGGTTCAAAACAAATGTGTATTTTTTAAAATTCACATATGTCCTCAAAATGTTTTATACAGTATACAGATAATAGATTTCTTCAAAATGTAAGATGTGCCAGTATAATTGTAAACTGTATTTCTAAACAGATTACATAAGGAAACTACTGTCTTTGTATCTCTGGAGTGAGACTAATCATAAACATTCATGAAAAGAAAGAGCAGTGATTCATCACTGTAAAGTTTCCTTTCACATTTCTAGAACTAAATTCTCTTAGAGTTACGGTGTTAGAACATATTTAATTCTTACAGTGTGTTCATGTTCATTTTGGGGTTTCTTGTTCAGAATATTAAAGAGCTTGAATCCTTTGTTTGGAGGAGCCATAGACACAGTCTCCATATTAGCTGGCTATGCTGGTTATCCTGAAACTTGGTATAGTCTGACCAAAATAAAAATGCAGCACAAATGAAGTCCCAGTTGAAAGACTGTGTACTTCAGTTTGGGCTTAATACAGACAGAAAAATACTATTACGTTTATATAGCTGAAGCAGCTATAAATGAGGAAAGAATAAAAAGAAATTTTGTATATTTTGTGGAAGAGAAAATATTAATTCATTTCATTCAATGAAATTATTTCATTTTGAAGATAAAACTCTTTTCTTTTTTAGGCTTATGTGGTATTTGTTTCAACATTAGGAGGAACATGGCTAGAGAAAAATTTTGCTGCCTTTCTTTCTCATATCCTAAGCCTTGTGTCACAGTCACACCCTAAAGCCACCCAAACTCAGACTGATGCTGTCTGCGGTCGCCGTTGTGTTTCATTTATCCTTCGAGCTACTATAGGAGGTCTTCTTGGAGAAAAGGCTCAAATTGCTGCTGCCAAGGATATTTGCCAGGCTATCTGGAAGTTAAAGAAAGTCGTGGGTATGGATCTACTAAGACAGTCTGTTTTAACAATGCTGAAGGAATTGTCCTTTTGGAAAAGCTAGACTGGTATATATTACTATATTAATACAAAAAAACACTTTTGTAATAGATGTCAGTTGTTTTAGGGTAAAGTTGTCGATACATAGATGAGACATAAACTATCTAACGTATAACTATCGTGTATATATATACAAGTCTTAAAGACTGGTGATAATAGTTCCTCAGAATTCATAATCTTCCTCTAGAGGTTGATACAGTGTTTTCAAAACAATCAGTTAATCTCAGGGGCACCTGGGTGGCACAGCCAGTTAAGCATCCGACTCTTGATTTCGGCTAAGGTCGTGATGTCAGGGTTGTGAGATCAAGCTCGGCGTCAGGCTCCTCACTGGGCTAGGCGTGGTGCCTGCTTAAGATTCTCTCTCTCTTTCCCTCTGCCCCTCCCCCTCTTAAAAAAAAAGAAAAAACAATCAGTTCATCCCAGTTCCTGTACCATTTTAAGTCCACTCTGTTTATCTTATATACCAATGAAATTGGAATATTTTTTAGTTTTCTATGCATTCTCCCTTTCAGTGCCACTTGTAATAGTAATTAAGGGATTGATGGTCAGGTTGCTTGAACTAAATTGGTTGTATTAGTTCAATTCTTTCTCAATTGATGCAAGTCCCCATTGTAGTATTTCCTTTAACTGCCTTAAGGGTTTCATGTATAGAGAGAGGAGGTATTAATTTTTGCCTTTATATTTTATGCTCCTTTTTTTTTTTTTAAAGACTTTATTTATTTACTTGACAGAGAGAGAGAGAGAGAGCACAAGTAGGCAGAGTGGCAGGCAGAGGGAGAGGGAGAAGCAGGCACTGAGCAGGGAGCCAGACGTGGGGCTCGATCCCAGGACCCCAGGATCATGACCTGAGCCGAAGGCAGCCGCTTAACCAACTGAGCCACCCAGGCGCCCCATGTTTTCTGCTCCTAACACCTACCCCCTATAATATATTTTAATAAAACACTGACAAGTAGTTAAATCTTATGCTTCTATCAGATGCTGTGATGAATGACGGTAATGTGGAAACCCGGGTTGGCTCCACAGATGTAACAGCCAGCCAGCATATGCTGGTGTGTGCTTTACAAGAGCTTGGAAATCTCTTATACAGTCTTGGCACCACAGTTGCACCTTTACTGCAGGATTCAAGTGCAGGTATCTGTTTTTGCGACTTGTCTGAATACCTTGTTTTTACTTTTATTCTGGACAACTTTCTTCTTAGGAAACAAGTCTTTCTCATATAACTCATTTATTATAGATTCCTCTATAGATTTGTTAGAGATGTTTTATGATATAAATATATCAGGATTATTAAGAATATGTGTATATTTTAGTTTTTTCATTTATAAAGGTTGTTCACTAAGTTACCCTCTAGTCCTCCCTTTCTGGAAATATTTAAGATAACATGGAAAAAATGAAAAGCAAACCTGAACTCTTGTCTCTCATCTGCAGTGAAAACATTAATTTCTATATGATACAAGTAATTCACTTCCTCAAAGGTCCTTTCAAGCAGTCTCCATTTTCTTTTTCTTGGAAAATTAATCACTTCGAGAGAGAATTCACATACCGAAAAGTTCACCCTCCCTATTTCTCCTTCCCCCAGCCCCTGATAACTACTAATATATTTCCTGTCTCTATGGATTTGCCTATTATGGACATTTCATATAAATGGAATCATACAATATGTGTCTTTTATTTAATCATTATAATAAATCAGTTTTGATGGCTTTTGTCATTTAACTGTGGTACGTATTTCCTGCTGACTGAAGCTGGCATTATATTTGGTTTGTAAGCTCTTTATCCCATATAATTTAGCAGCCAACATGAACTGTTATGTATTTTGATGAAGTTGTATGTTGAATTACAGCAAATATAGACTTTTATTCTTACTGGTATCGGTACTCCATTGTCTTCATAATTGGTTAGTAGCCCATTGAGGACCTAGCAAAGCCTCAGTTTTGTTCAACATTTTGTTCTCAGGCAAAAGTGTTATGGTACATAGGAAGCATACTAATTATGTAGATAAATGTGCCAAAGGGGATTTTTTAAAAAGAGGAGGATGGAGCATAGTGTGACATTTCTTTTTAAGGTGTTTTTGTTATGTATTAATAATTTTTAATTCCTAGTACCAAATGAATAATGGTCTGAAGATAAAAAAGCAGAACATTAGCTTATTTAGGAAATAAAATTTTTCTTTTGTGTATTAATTTAAATCATTTTTCATATTAGAAGTAATTCTTGCATATAAAAATCCTTTAGGGGTGCCTGGGTGGCTCAGTTGGTTAAGCAGCTGACTCTTGACTTTGGCTCAGGTCATGATATCAGGGTCCTGAGTTCAAGCCCCATGTTGGGCTCCACACCAGGTGTGGAGCCTACTTTTTAAAAAAAAATCATTTATAATTATGTATCTTTTTAAATCTTTTTTTTCTATTCTGATTTGGCTTTTGATAAAGATAATACATTTTATATCCGTGTGGCTGCTTATTCTTTTGACTATTTTTGGCTAAGTGAATTTATCCGTAGAGCTAAGTCTTTTTTTTTTTTTTTCATTTGTCCTTCTAGGTATTCTTGACAGTGTCATTTCAGTTATTCAGCATCCTAGCATTTCTGTTCGACTAGCAGCAGCTTGGTGTTTACACTGCATTGCTGTGGCATTACCTTCTTACCTAACACCTCTTTTAGACCGTTGCCTGGAACGGCTTACTGTACTTAAGTCTTCACCTGAAGCAGTGACTGGCTTTAGTTTTGCTGTGGCAGCTTTGTTGGGAGCAGTGAAACATTGTCCTTTAGGAATTCCTCATGGAAAGGGCAAGGTAATGATTTCATTCTTCACATATGATAATGACATAATTGTAATTGTCTTCGTGTTTATCACCCAGTCAAAGCCATACAGGACAACTTTCTGAGAAAGCAGCTATATTACTTAATTTTTAAATATTATGAAATAATTGCTGTAACAAATAAAGGGATAGTTAAAAGTGTCTTATCTACACTTAAACGGGAATATTTTCTGCGCTTTTTATTGGAAATACCTCCATTTAGTAACAGAATTTGTTCCTGGAGGCTTTATTTTGCTATATAATTAGCTCTGCCATAGAAGTGCATTTAAAATTGCATTATAGGGGCGCCTGACTGGCTCAGTTGGAAGGCAGCTATGCTCACCACTATACCACCAACGCATGACTGGCTCAGTTGGAAGAGCATGCAACTCTTGATCTTGGGGTTGTGAGTTTGAGCCCACATTGGGTGTAGAGATTACGTTTAAAAATGAATAAATTAATAAATAAAAATTAAAAATAAAATTGCATTTAAAAAAAATAGCATTGTAGAGGACAGAGCTGCAAAGAGCTGTAGCTATAAAATCAAGAACGTTAAGTAAAAATCTCATATGTTACATTTGAATGGAAAATATCACTATGGGGGCGCCTGGGTGGCTCAGTCGGTTAAGCATCTACCTTCAGCTCAGGTCATGATCCCAGGGTCCTAGGATCAAGTCCTGAGTTGGGCGCTCTACTCAGCGGGGAATGTGCTTCTCCCTCTGCCTGCTGCTCCCCCTGCTTATGCTCTCTCTGTCAAATGAATAAAATCTTTAAAAAAAAAAAAAAAATGCTTAAATCCTCACTCTGTCCAGTGACAAGACCTAAAGCAGTGACAACCTGGTAGCAAGGAAAAGCCCTAGCACCCAGATTATGGCTCTAAACATCATTTTAGCAAAAGGCAGTCAGGGCTCCATGAAGGAATGGCTGGTTTCAGATCTGGGGCAGGAAAGGCACAGTGTAACCTGAAATACCTTGTCATGCCAGAGAACAAGGAAGTCATCAGTGACTACTGTGTTCATTTTAAAAGGATACAGAAAGTAACTTAAGGGGCTTCCACTGACCAAAGTGGGGTAATGTGTACATCAAAAAAAGATAATGGCAACAGTGGATTGAATAACTAGGAATTGTGAGTTATCAGAGAATGTTGTTCGACCATGAAGCCTTCGTAACCTAGGCCTTACACACATATAAGTACTTTTTTTAAGGTGTTATTTGTTTGAGAGAAAGTGAGCGGGGGGGGTGGGGGAGGAGCTCAAGCATGAGTGGGGGGAAGGGGAGAGGGAGAAGCAGACTCCCTGCTGAGCAGGGACACACCTCCTCCCTCCACCCACCCCCCTACCCCCGCCAGATCATGACCTGAGCCGAAGGCAGATGCTTAACCGACTGAGCCACCCAGGTGCCCCCATATACGTACTTCTTAATAAATAAATCACTGTTCCTTGCTTTCTCATTGTCACTCCTATGTCATTGGTAGTATTATAATATATCTGCCATTTAACCTTTGCAGAAGAATGTACCATTACTTCAGAAGTTGTAAAACTATTTTGAATATTGCCAATGTCACTTGAGTAAGGTGATTGACAACTAACATTCTGTCATATGTTTCTAAGCGAAGAATTGCCATTGCCTGTATTTAATTAAATATCCTCAGATCTTACTAGTTAGGCAGAAAGGATTGTTTTATTTTATCCTTGTTTTTATTGAGTGTTATCCATTGATTATATTGGCTTCAAGTAGTCCTAAGTTAGTAATAAGTTGGTTGGTTGTTTTAAAATACACTAGCCTTCCTGTTTAGAAAATTTATATGCCAACTTAAAATACTTGCTGCTTTTCTAGAGGTGTTTGGTAACAGATGTTTTCTCAGACATAATAGATGCCTCTTGGCCTCTCTACTATATAAGCATGCGTTATCCATAACGTATGAAATAATCTGGTTTTTCCTCTTTTGTTTTGCCTATTTTGTAGACTTAAAATATAATACTTTTATGAATCCCACTCTGAAATTCACTTCAATGTGAGACTATTTTAAGTACTTTTAATCTCTAGTATACTGCCTCTAGAAAGATTATCAGACACTCAGGTATCAAAATGGTATGCAAATTTTTAAAAAGGGAGATTCCTGTAAGGAAACTTACTCTGGTAATTACAGATTTAAGATAAATGCTTAAAACTAAAAGTAAATTCAAATTCTACGCACCTTCACTTGAACAGTGGTACAGTGGCATAATATGTGCTCTGCAAAGAATTACACGGTTTCTGTATAGAACCTAATATGCCAGTATTTAACCTAAATTTAATTTTTTATAGTTTTCTCTATGATGTTGTCCTGTGGTGTAGTCTACATGAATGAGAGTCCTTTATCACTTACATTCGTTATATGTAAGGGTTCATTTTTCAAGAGATTATTAGTTGCTGTCTTTTGTCCAGTAACCTATAAATTGATACGCTTCTTTACCTTATTCTTCTGTATGTAAATAGATTATTATGACATTAGCGGAGGATTTGCTGTGTTCAGCTGTACAAAACAGTCGTCTTTCAGCTCAGCGCACACAAGCTGGATGGTTGTTGATTGCAGCTCTGATGACATTAGGTAATAATAGTCTGTGGAAGGTTTACATGACTATGCAGTACTCTGTGTTTTCTGAATGTAAAATACTGTAATGTATGATTTGAGGAGACTAATTTTTAATTTGTACGAGAATTTATCCACACAAACATTTTTCTTCTAGCAGTTACCTTAGGAAGCCATATACTTACTCCATTCCTCAAAATGTTTTCAGATCTCCTTATTTGAGATTCTTTTCAAAACCAATTTATGAGGGACACCTGGGTGGCTCAGTCGGTTAAGTGTCTGCATTTGGCTCAGGTCATGATCCCAGGATCCTGGGATTAAGTCCCGCATCGGGCTCCTTGCTCAGTGAGGAGCCTGCTTCTCCCTCTCCCTCTGCCTGCCACTCTGCCTACTTGTGCTCTCTCTATCAAATAAATAAATAAAATCTTAAAACAAAACAAAACAAAACAATTTATGAGCCTTAGGTAGGATAGGCCAATTTGATTACCTTTCAGGTTTAACTCTGAATGACTCTGACTTTTCCAAAAATCATTCACATCCATCTTCAGAAAAAAAAATTTCCACAATGAAGGGTAGGCAGGAGAACATACCATAGCCTGTGACTCCAATTCTGTAATTGTTTTGAGAATTGGTAATATCAATAAGGTAGTTGAAGGGAATAGGGCTCACTAAATTAGATTTATTAAAAATCAGTAATTATTTTATGGTCATGACTATTGTGTTTATATCCTATAACTTTGAGACCCAATTTTATTGCTTTATTAAAGTTATATTTTAAATCTATTTTATAATCATATCATTTATTGCCAAGATATAAAATTGGCTGGATTTAACCAGTAAATCATTTTGACACCTCTGAAGTAATTTGATTTAAAAGGAGCTTAAATTAAACAATCACAAATGAAGAACCACTTTAAATAATGTTCTTGGGATGATTAAAGAGGTTTATTGGACTATGTCAGGGTTCAGCCTATGGACCAAATTTGGCTTGCCAATTCTTTTATACAGCCTCTGAGCTAAGAAGAGTTTTTACATTTTTTAATGGTTTCAAATTTGGACCCTGGCATACGTTGTCATTTCACAAAGTGATGGGAAGGAATAATATGGCCAAGCCTTTATTTGCTTTTGGCTAGGTGTTTCATGTCTGCCATATTGATGATCTTGGTTAATTAAAGGAGAAAATAAACTACTTAATAAATGCAGTATTTCAAATAATAAAATTTTTCAGAAAAACGTAATTCTCTCAGAAGACTACAAGAAATCCCTTCTCTTTTAAAGAAAGAGATTAGGGGCACCTGGGTGGCTCAGTGGGTTAAGCGTCTGACTTTGGCTCAGGTCATGATTTCAGGGCCCTGGGATTGAGTCCTACAGCAGGCTCCCCACTCAGAGGAGAGTCTCTTTCTCCCTCTCCCTTTGCCCTTCCCCCCACACATGCAGGAGCTCTCCCTTCCTCTCTCTCAAATAAATAAAGTCTTTTTTAAAAAAAAGATTAGTGGGTGCCTGAGTGGCTCAGTTGGTTAAGCGACTGCCTTCAGCTCAGGTCATGATCCTGGAGTCCTGGGATTGAGTCCCACATCAGGCTCCCGGCTCAGCGGGGAGCCTGCTTCTCCCTCTGGCCCTCTCCCCTCTCATGCTGTTTCTCTCTCTCTCAAATAAATAAAATATTTTTTTTAAAAAAGATTAGTATATCATATTTTATTGTATATTCATAATCAACATAAAAAGATTAAAATTTTAAATTAATGTTTTAGGGCACCTGGGTGGCTCAGTCAGTTAAGCATCTGACTCTTGGTTTTGGCTCAGGTTGTGATCTCAGGGTCCTGAGTAAATAAATAAATCTTAAAAAAAAAAAAAAAGGAATACCATGGAGATGAGGCTGAGCTCTTAAAAAAAAAATTCCACTCAGATGTATCACATCTGATTTTTGACCTGGAACAAGTTGCTATCAACTTACTGAGTTTTAAAGAGTAACATTTTGGGTTCTTTAATAATTGACAAGTTGAATAAATTACAGGTCCTGCGGTTGTCAGTCATCACCTAGCTCGAGTTCTGCTGTTGTGGAAGTGTGTCTTTCCAGTGTCTCCTAAAGATCTGGAAACAGAAAAAAGCCGGGGAGATTCATTTACATGGCAGGTAACCTTGGAAGGACGAGCTGGTGCACTCTGTGGTAGGTAAAGTTTAGTCTTTTTTCTCCCTTTCCTTTCACTTTTTCCCTCACTCTTTAACTTTCCCATATTTATATCTTTATTGGTGAAAATATTTACTTATGGTGATTTTTGAAATTGAACATAATTAATTAGTGATTAGAACAGATACGTGATAAACCAGATTTTTTAGAATTCTGATCCTTAGGAAAATGCATGTTTTCTTAGATGTAATCTAGTTGAGAACCTCCAAGACTGCTTTGTCTTCAGTAGGCATTCAAGTTCTTTTTTTAGAAATATTAGGCTTGGATTTAATTAGCATTGATTAAGTATGGTTTCCATTTAGTTTTTTATATATGAAAGTTGTACCCTTCTATAGTATATGAACCATTAAAAAATAGTATCTACCATGAATATTTGAACTAAGGAAGTGGTATTTCTGGAAAGACATGGAAACATTGATTTTGGTTTTATTTGTTTATTCATGGCATTTTTACTCTTAATAAAACAATTTTGAAATTAATCTTGAAAGTCAATCTAACTTTAAAATATTAAAACTACATATTAAATAATTCCTTATAAAAACTTACACGATTCAGGTAACATCTGTAAGAACCGAACAATGCTGGCTAAAAAAAATGTCATCATAGTTCTGCAGAATTCGTGTAGAACTGGCAAACTTAAGGTTCTAAGGTAATTTTTTCTACTTCTGAGCTCAGGGGTTGAGTAAAAGTCAGAAAAGCAGCATTTTGTTAACTTGGTTGTTGGGCATTTTTAGTGATTCTAGAAACTGTTTTTTTACCTTGATTAGAGGTAAAAGACATTAGCTTCCTTTTTATGAGAGAGTTTCAAGATTTTTTTTTGTTTTTAGCACATTTCTTTATTCCTCTAATAGAAATACAAATGCTGTACCATTAATGAATGCTTTTTTTCATGGTTCATTACATTCTGCCAAGTAAAGAAGTCTGTTCTATTTTTCAGCTATCAAGAGTTTTGTTTCCCACTGTGGTGATCTCCTTACTGAGGAAGTAATTCAGCGTCTTCTTCCACCACTTCCTTGTGCTGTGGATTTGCTAACTCAGTAAGGATCTGCTATTTAGATTTGATAAAAATTTTTAATAGCAATCTTATCCTCTGATCATGTAATATCTGTTTAGTACATTAATAAGGCCAAGTTTCTATGGTTGGTGAATGATTTTCCTTTTGTAGTCGAAGGCAAACATTTAGTTATATGATTTTTTTTTTTTTAGGCTAGGAACTTGAAAGAAAAATACATATTAAAAGGGAAGGAAAGTTACTTGGTGGATATTGTATCTTCCAAACAGTCAGATTTAACCAAGAAATTAAATATTAAGCCTGTTAACCTTTTCAGGTATGCATTTTATTGGTTTGTTAGTGCTATTCTGTGTTCATAAGAACCAGATGCTTGTTAACAATTTTAGTTTTTTGTTGTTTTTATTTTTCATAAATTTGACTTATGTGATAAGAAAACAGAGAAAATCCAGTATATGTCATGAGCACTTGTAATTTCCAAATTAATGTATAGTTTTAAAATATTTAATGATATAAAATTTAGTGTATTACAGAAAAATAAATCTAAGATATGGCTTATAAAGCATAATGAAATGAACACCTTTGAATCCAACACAACTAGAGCAGGGGTTAGCAGATGTTTGCTGTAAAGGGCCAGATTGTGAACATCATAGGCTTCGCAGGCCATACAGTCTCTGTTGCATCTACTCAGCTCTGTCGTAGCTCAAAAGTAATCATATATAATCTGTAAATGAGTGAATGTGGCTATGTTCCAGTAAAACTTGATTTACAAGAACAGGCAGTGGGCCAGGTTTAGCTACCCTTAACAAGGACATTAATGATACTATTGAAGTTATCTGTGAGTTCCTGTCTAATACCATTCTTTCCGCTTTACTCTAGAGGTGATCAGTATCCTGATTTTTATGGTTGTCATTCCCTTGCATTTTTTTTTTGTTTCAGGGGTACAGGTCTGTGATTCATCAGTCTTACACAATTCACAGCGCTCCCCATAGCACATACCCTCCCCAGTGTCCATCACCCAGCCACCCCATCCCTCCCACCCCCACCACTCCAGCAATCCTTAGTTTGTTTCCTCAGATTAAGAGTCTCTTATGGTTTGTCTCCCCCTCTGGTTTCATCTTGTTGCATTTTTCCCTCCCTTCCCCTGTGATCCTCTGCCTTGTTTCTCAAATTCCTCCTATCAGTGAGATCATATGATAATTGTCTTTTTCTGATTGACGTATTTCACTTAACATAGTACCCTCTAGTTCCGTCCATGTCATTGCAAATGGCAAGATTTCAGGTTTTGATGGCTGCATAATATTCCATTGTATATATATACCACATCTTCTTTATCCATTCATCTGTTGATGGACATCTAGGCTCTTTCCATAGTTTGGCTATTGTGGACATTGCTGCTCTAAACGTTGGGGTGCACGTGCCCCTTTGGATGTAGTGATCCCTTGCATCTTTAAAAAGTGCATCACATATATATGTTTCCCTAAAGAGTGCATTGTTTAGTCTTGGTTTTGATCAGGCAAATGGTATATTGTTTCTGAAACTTACTTTTTTACTCATCATTATGTTTGTAAACTTCATCTATGAGTAAGTTTGTTCATTTGTTTTGGTTGCTATATAGTATTTAATTGAGTGTGTATTTAGCAACTTACGTACTTCTGTCATTGAAATATCCAAATTCTTGTATGTTTCTGTCAATAGTATATGTGAGTACCCTTTGAGCCACTTCTTCACTAACACTCAGACATCATTCCTAGCCCATCCAGTAGGTATAATTGGTATCTCATCATGATTTTAATTTATATACTGATTCCTGATTGTCATTTTATATATTTATTATTCCTCAATATTTCCCCTTCTAGGAATTCCCTATTCGTGCATGTCTTTACCTATTTTTAGGTAAAATAGTTTTCTGAATTTAACAGACATTCCTAACTTAAATATCAAATTTATCAATCCTTTACTTTTTGGGTAGTACTTTCTGCCTTTTGGTTTAAAGCAATCTTTCTTCAGTGGCACCTGGGTGGCTAGATGGTTAAGCATCTGCCTTCAGCTCAGGTCATGATCTCAAGGTCCTGGAATCGAGTCTGACATCGGGCTCCCTGCTCAGTGGGGGGGGGGGTCTCCTTCTCCCTCTATCCCTCCCCCCCACTCATGCTCTCTGTCTCTGCCTCTCTCTCTCTCTCAAATAAATAAAATCTTAAAAAATACTTCAGAATTCTGAAAAATAGACTGGACCTGGTATTTTTGTTGTGGGAATTTTTTTTTTAACTACATATTCCATTTCCTTAATTGTTCTGACTATTCAGGGTCTGATTTAGGGGTTTGTTTTACTTGTTTATTACTTAGATTTTTTCTAATGGTTTTCACAATGCATCTTTATCTTCAGATTTTTTGGAATAAAGTTCTTCATGGTGTTACCTTCTTAATCTCTGCTATATCTATAATGTTTTCTCCATTCCCATTAAGTTTTCATTATGCCTTCCCTTTTGTTTTTCCTGATCCATCTCTTGAGTAGTGTATCTATTTTATTAATCTATACAAAGAATGACTTAGTTTATGTTGAATTTTTTTCCTTATTTATTGTTTATTATTCCTGTCTGCTCTCTTAAATGCTTATCTTTTTCTAACCCCTTAGTTTGAATGCTAAGCTCACTGTATTTCTCTTAATTCTCCTAATAGAGGCTAAGGCTACAAATTTCCTACTAAGGTTCCAGTTACTGAATCCTTAAAGTATTAATACGTATTGTTTTCATTTTTTCAGTTTTAAGTATTTTAAATCTTACTATAATTTCTTTGAGTTGTTTAGAATTATGTTTATAAATTATGTATAGAATAGTTTTTAGTTTATAGTTTTGTTAGTGATTTTCAACTTAATTGAATTGTAGTTAATGAATATGATTTGTATATTACCTATACTTTCATTTTTTTTTTAAGTTTATTTATTTAAGCAATCTCTACACCCAACATGGGGCTCAAACTCACAACTCCAAGATGAAGAGTTGCATGCTCTACTGACTGAGCCAGCCAGGAACCCCTATTACCTGTCCTTTTAAATTTGTCAAGACTTACTCTATAACAAATGTATTTTGTTAAAAGTTCTTTGTTCCATCTATCTTCACTAATTTTTTATCTACTTAAGCTATCAGTAATTGAGAGTGATGTGTTCAACTCTTCCACTGTGATGGTGGGTTTATAATTTTTTTCTATGGTTGTATTAATTTTTGCTTTTTCATATTTTGAGACTAATTGGGTACATAGGATTATAGAATTATATCCTCCTGGTGAATTGAATCTTTTATATTTATACAGTATACAGATAATTCTCTATCCTTCATAATGCTTTTTGATTAAAGTCTAATTTATGGATTATTAATATGGTGGTATGTCTTTTTTCACGGCACTGTGTTTTTAGTTTTATCTCATAAACTGTGTATAGTTGGAATTTTACAGTGTTTGCTCTAAACCAGCAATTTGTCGATTTCTCTATCCAACTTGTTATGTATTTTGTTGGTTTGTGTCTTTTAGTAATTCTAAAAAAGTGGCTGTTACCTATTCAAATATTGTCATTTTCCATTCTTTTTAAACTTTTCTTTTGTGGTTCCAAATAGACAAATTTTACATCTTTTCATTTTGTCTTCCATGTCTCCTCATCTTTTTTTTTTTTTTAAAGATTTTATTTATTTATTTGAGAGAGAGAGAATGAGAGAGCACATGAGAGGGGGGAGGGTCAGAGGGAGAAGCAGACTCCC